TTAACAATTTTACAAATATTCTTAATACTGTAAATACTTCAACATTTTAGTTTTTACTTTTCTTTATCACACTTGTAATTTAAAAAAAAAAAAAAAAAAGTGGTTTCGGACCTTTCAAACATGTGCAGTGACTGAATTTTCCTGTACAACTGAAACACTTCCTTGCATAAAATAGAAGGAAAAAAGAGGATAGCTGCAGATGTAAAACAACTTTCTTTAGTCTGATTTAGTTGTCATTATTATAGTTTCACTCTTTAATTTTACTCTTGCTGAAAATTCCTAATAACCAATTTAAGGTCTAAACTCTAAATAATTATATCATATTGAAAATGCAAGTTTGAGTACAAACCGCTTTAACATACCGCTCTTAGGTGACGTTAGTTTGACCAAACCTCAAATACCTAAGATATTACGAATTTACGAGGATTAATAGAAAATTTAGACATTTTGTCAATTAAATATTGAAATACTTTTTAATGAATCAATGAGTTTTTTTTTTTTAAAAAAATACTTATAAAAAATATTTTAACAATTTTACAAATATTCTTAATACTGTAAATACTTCAACATTTTAGTTTTTACTTTTCTTTATCACACTTGTAATTAAAAAAAAAAATAAAAGAACACCCCTTATATATGACCCATGGTGAACATGATAAATCGAACACATTTTCCCTTTTGGAACATGGCAAGCACAAGTATTATTTACGCTAACCATATACTAAATGAGAATTTCTTTTTTAATCTAGAACCATGCAAGATTAAACTAGAAAAACAAAATCACACCAAAGAGACGGGAGACATTAAACGAGAACCAGACCATATTTGCAGTGAAGGAAAAAAATCCAATAGTTGAAAAATACCACTCTGTAAAGATTAGAGTAATACAACAGCGTTGATGAAAAAATTTAAAAAGGTTGAGGTATATAATTATCCAATCTTTTAAGTCGAAATTTTGACTGTCATTGTAGCATGGCATTAACTCTTATTCAGACATTCCTAAAGCCACTTTTACAGTACTCTTAACGGGCCAGAACCATCAGCAGTGCTCCATCTGACCACCATTAATCGGATTTCACCTGTAAATCACAAAGCATTATTAAAACCATGATCGATACTGAAGTTTTAATAATCCTTGTTAAAAAAGAAGTAAGGCATACCAAAGGTGGTGATCAGGACTGTGAGGAACTGCGACTCCGGCTTCTGCTCACCACTTTGCGGGGCTGCATGGTAATGAGTATATCAGCATTGCTGACTGGATCAAAGAAACAGTCACACAGTAAGCAAATAGATGGAAGACATACCAAAGGTGATTGGGACCGTGATAAGCTGCGACTCCCACTCCTGCCTGGGCTTCTGCTCACTGCTTTGCGGGGCTGCATGGTACAAACATCAAAAGTTAATACACATTCTCAACTGGACTAAGAAACACTAAACATACAAAACCCAAAATAATATATGCTCAAAGCCTCAAACTAGATTCCACTTACTGATGGAGTTGGTGATCTGGACCTTGATCGTGATCTGCAAAAATTTAAGAAACAAACCAATTTAATATTCAGAATTATACTCATGAATCTTTGGTCCAAGTCTCTGAGTGCCACGTCCATGTCAGAGTAAGCATACTTGTACAAAAGGAAAATACCATCAATCTTTAGCAGCAACCAACAGACAGTGAAACAATGTTCATTACTAAAAATCTCGCCAAGTGGAAATCATCCTTTTACCAGCAGGTTGTGACAGCTTAAAACATAACCAAAATGGAACACAAACTACTAAAGCCCTCTTTAACACCAAATCAAAGAAATTTCTGGTCCGTTTGAATGGAGTTGAAGGTTAAATGACTTTGGTTTGATGTGTCCACGCAATAGTTCACCTAATTCACGGCAAGTCCAGCCCTCGAATTGTGATCCATCCACTATACTGATCCAGTTCCAGTCTAGCAATTGTTGCATGTCATTCATTATATAGTGGAATTGTTAGACCTTAATATTTTTCCAGAGGTGCTCGTCAACAAAAACAGCATTACCTCAACAACAAAATGAGTTGCAGGCATTTGAGCACCACATCCCATCAAGTTCCTAACATCCAATCCCCAGACAGCCGCAAAGAGCCAGATCTAGCAAGGAAACAAGGCAACCTTTGTAAAAAAGGTATAACTGGACAACCAAGCAACCTCTTTCTCAATTACCCCCCTCCATTTTGGAGAAAACAAATTGTTTTGGGTTCAAGTGGAAAAACATGATGGGATTCAATTTAAGATTTCTTATCTAGCAAAAATATATACAAGCAAAAAGGATCATGCCACAAAAACCTTCTTGTCAATCACACAAGATTAAGCAAAAAAGTGGAGAAAAATAATGTTCAGACACAATTGGGACTGCCAATCACCACACAAAGTCACAAAGCAATGGATGGAGAAAGTAGGAAAAGCTCAAGCATCCCACCATACAGAGAAGGCAATAATGCACTAGCCTGAATTTAAGTGGCTAATTCAATGAAGCAGAGATATGTATCACTTGTAACCGTTAGTAAAACTGATCCACTCATACACTTTGAGAAAACATATTTTCATATAAGGTTTGAAGTTTTGAGTCATTTCGCGAGCCTAAAATTTTAAATAGGGATTCACAAATCATGTGATGTTATGATGTTATGCCTGTCCTCAAAGTTCATACATGCTCATGCAAAAAACAAATATAAAGTAAACTATTTTAGAAACTAATACATAAACTATATTTATTGAATAACCCAAGTGGACAAGCCATTCCCCATCGAGCTACAAGTTAAATGTATCTTAAGTTTCTAACTCAATAGGAACACTATTCAAGCCTAGCTTAATGATAGTAATATCCACACAACTGAAAGGTGACTATCAGTTATCTCAACATAAAAAGCAAAAAGCATTGCATCTTTGGCAGCACATCTTTTTTCTCTACAAGGAATAAAATACCAACCAAAACCACCTACAGTCCCAACCAAGCAATCAAATAAGATTATGAAGCAATGATAAAACTGCATTAACTAGGTAAATTCTGCAAGCTTAACCTTCTCAAGATTTCATTGCTAAATGAGGAAAAGCTTGCATGAAAGATTAACTAATTCAATTAGAAGTTCCCTTGGTATAATAAAAGTAGACAACTGCACTGGCATTATTAGGAAGTGCATCACCTCCGAGTTTTTATCAAGGAACTAGTAAAATTACTAAATACAGCAGCCACATAAAGAAGAGTGAGTAACCAAAAAAATGCTTAAAATATAGGTCATAGAGGGAAAAAAATAAGAACAGGAAACAGTATGGTTAAAAGCCATAAATGTCCAAAGAGAACAACTGCAACACATACAAAGAAAATTTAAAGAAAAACATGTCATACCTTGAATCCGAGTGGGCAGGTGACAGAGAGCGAGAGCGGGGAGAAACCGATCTAGATAAAGATTGACGTGGGGATTTGGCTCTAGGGGATCTGCTGTAAAATGGATCACAGTAAGTATGCAAAAAAACAGAAAAAATAAATTCTTAAATTTCTGTTTTACAATACAAATGGAACAAACCTCCTGCTCCTGCTACTATAGCTAGGGCTGCGACTGCGGCTTCGACCAGATGGGCTGCGACTTGGACTTCTTGAGTAGCTCCGTCTGGCATCGTACTCCTTCACCTGCAGAATATAAAACAGACAAGTACGAAGATTTCTCAGAAAATAATCGTTGCTGGATTACCAAAGTAATTATCACAACTCAATTTAAGAGTAGATACCCGTATGTAAGCCCCAGAGGAAAATGCATTTCGAAACTTAGAACCATCAAGTTTCCTAATCTGCAAAGCCAAAAGACAACCAACCACAAGAACCATGTCAGAAGAGCTTCCAACACTGTCCTAGCTGTTGCTCAAGAAAAATAAATGAATTGCTGAAGAACCCCAAGGTATATCAGAGTAAAGCACAACTTACAGCATATTTCATATCATCATAATTTGTATAATCTACAATCCCCGTCATACCTGCAGAAAGTTAATAAAATAGAATCAATCCAATAAGGAAAAAAAAAAAATCCATTTACCATCAACATCTGACTAAAAAGTAATACCTCAAACAAACCAGGTTACAACCAGAACAAGATTTAACTTTGAACTGAACAGAGATATAAGCTTTATATATGGAGTTATAGCTTACAGACGTTTTGTTTAACAAACGACATAAAGATATGACCTACCCTCACGATCACGAAAGACTTGAGAGAAGCAGACATCCCCAGCTTTGCGCATGTGATCCTGATCATTGAATAAAGAACCATTAATTAAGAAAGAAATAGAGAGGCTGCAAGCAGGTTCCTTGCATAAACATAATGTGAAATAGCAACAAAATCAGTCATATAAGTAGCACACTCACCTTTAAGTCTTGCCATGAAGCAGAAGAAGGTAAGCCAGTCACCAAAACTGTATGATAAACAACATATTGTGAGATCAATTCCCACGTACTTTGAATAGAAAGATAGCACAAGAGTCTAAACATACCACGATAATCAGAGTGCCTAGAAGGTCCACGACTGCTGCTACCACTATAACTGCTATAGCGGTCCACTGAGGATGAGGGTCTTCGCCCACCATGTGCCAGCTCAACCTAAAGATACAAAATAGTAGAAACATGGTAAAGTTACTAAAATATAAAAGATATTTGACAGAAAGATAGGGAATAAATTATAGCTACTTACACGCAATCGGCATCCATCAAAATTGTACCCATCTCGGCCACGAATTGCATCTTCAGCATCACGTGGATCTTCAAACTACAATTTCAAGCGATTAAACTTAGAAGAAAATGATTGTGTCAAAACCTAAGAATGTCTTCTCATTCCCTGTCCTATGCCTCATACAATGTAAAATATAAACTCACCTCAACAAAAGCATAACCAGGAGGCCTTGGTGGTATCTTCAAATCAATATCAACAATGGGTCCATACTGCAAAAAAATTGAAAAAGGGCCAAGTAAGCAAGGCAAAAAAATAAAACCCACATGCAAAGCAATTGCATCTCAAATAGTTCTTTAGTTTTAGAAATAACACTACCACCTCGATTCAGCATGTAAACTACAATCACAAGACAAATAGCCACTCGCTTCAAAGCAGCAAAGAAGCCAAAACCGACCACAAAGGTTATAGCATTGCAATTTGGTATTAAAGATTACAACTTGAAGCTGAAATTAATCAGCAGTTATATCACTTTGCCCAAAGTTCATACCACTGTTCTGAACTAAAAACAACTACACAAGGGCCATAAACATTAACTCATCAATTCAATCAAACATCCTGACTAGGGGGGAAAAAAAAAAGCAAATATCAAACCTTGTAAAATAAATCTTCAACTTCTCTCATACGAATGTCCCCTGGAAGATTGCCCACATAAAGGGTGCGGCTTGATCCACTCATTTTTCCTGAAACAAAAGATAAATTTTATATATATATATAAAAGGAGAAATTCATAATCAACTCCACATTAAAAAATATAGATATCAAAAAAACGAAAATAACCTACATTGAAAAACGAATCCGTAGATTAGCCCCAAAAATAAGAAGATAAAAAGCAATTCTTTCATAAGCAGTTGAAAGTTAAACAAAGAAAAACAGAAAATAATCTAAATTGAAAGAAAAATTCACAAAAAAAAAAAAAATCGATCTTCCGTAAATTCAACCATACCATAGAAAAAATATATATTGACAAAAACAAGCGGAAAATAGAAAAAAAGAACCAGGAGAGGGGGAAACTCACCTTCGCAAAGACTGCAGAGTAGAAGAGGATTGTAATGTAAGCGTTTAGATGATTCTGGAAGGCGGTGGATGTGGCTCGAGAAGATGAGTTATAAAAAGGAGCTGGAGGGAGATACGGTTTTGATTGTGTACTCTCTTACGTACTATTGATATCTTGCAACCTGGATTCTGAACCCTACGATTGTGTAGATGGAGTTTCTTTCCCGATCTCACCCTCCATCTGCCCTCCTCAATTATTCAATGTTTGTAAGGCAAAACTCTCTCTTACGCCTCCAAACTTAACCCAAATTAAACATATGAGCCCTTAAACTAAAAAGGGTGCAAATAAGCCCCTAAACCCCTTTAATGATGCAAATTAGCCCTTGAACCTCTCGAGATGCAAATCAACTCTTATCATAAACGACCATTAATCTTATAAATAGAGAAACAAATTTTTAGAGAATTTTTTTCTTATGGGTCCAATGCAACTTAATTCTAAATTAATTGAAATTTAATATAATTTTTAAATACGAGGGATTAGCATCAAAATAAATAAATAAATAAATTATCCTTAATTTTTAGGTTTTATTTAATATAATTGTAGTTCTAAATTTTTTATTTTGGTTTTTAAAAAGTTTAGAAACCTTAAAATAACATTTAAAATTTTTATAAATTAATTAAGTTTAAAGTTTTGAGTATTTGTTTTAAAATTTTATAATCAATAAGTTATCTTTTTTAATTCTTAATTTTGGTTTATAATTTTTTATTTTAAATGTTTCAATTTGGAAAATGAAAATTCACAATCATATTAAATGGCACTGTAATAAAAGACTAGTTTTAAAGTAAATTTTTACAAAAATAAGGATTTACACTTTTTTTGATTGAAAGTAAGAAGAAGTTTCGCACCTGGGCCAATAGGTCCACTGGCATTAGCCAGGTTGATAGTGCACTGCCCCCCTCTCCTAGGCGGGTTCGAAACCCGCCCTTGCCAAAATGATCAAAAAAAAAAAAGTAAGAAGAAGTTTCTTCTCTCTCTTATTTAGATAAGCTTATTAAAGGAAGGGAGATAGATGAAGAGATGAAGAACTCTCTCTAAATGTCTTATTTTTAATCTCTTTAATTTGAGAGAATTTTGAGGGATTTAATTTACTTTTATTTTTTTTATTTTTTTCAAAAATAGAATTAAAATTTTTTATTTTAACTTTATTTTTAATATATAAAATTATAAAATTTTAATCAATTTTATAATGGATTTTCTTTAATTTATTTAATTAAATAAAAAAATGTAATCTTCCTCTCTCCTTTCCTTCCTCTTTTTTACTCCCTCCCTATTTCTAAATAATTGTGTTTTTTTATTTTAAATTTATCTCAAATTAATTGGTATTTTTTTTCATTTTTTAAAAGAAACAAATATTTTTTCTTACTTTAATCTTATCATTATCTATTTACTTTAATTAATCATCTAATCATGGAAATTTTTTTTAATTTTTTATTTTTTAGGAGTATTATAGATAAATAAAAATATTATCATTAAATCTTTAATTATAAAAAAACTAATAGTTCTTTTTTTGTACTAACCCCTAATATCTAAAAGCCACATTAGACCCCGCAACTAATTCAGAATCAAATCACACCAGAGCTTATAAGAGTAAAGTTCTTTAAATATTTGTTTCTCTATTTATAAAATTTGAATTCAAAATCTTATTTTAAAAAAAAAATCAAATTCTTTCTACTTCAATTAATAAGTCATTTGTAAAAACACTAATAGTTATTTTAAGACAAAAAAAAAAAAAAAAACTATCCAAACAATATTAATACTAACCTTTACTTCCCTCCTCCTCTTTTTCCTCTATCAATTTCTATCCAAAGGTTCCTCAAAGCTTTTAACAAAACTTACTTTAAAGATTTCATCAAAAAAACACTTACTTTAAAGGTTTTTTTTTTTCTCTCGCTAAAAATCAAGTTTCCCTTCAACAAATTTCAGATCGAAAGAGACAAAAATTTTGAGTTTCTATTTAAAAATTATCTTAGTCAAATGACCCCTAAAATTAGTGATTGACATGTTGATACGTTATTGCCATAGATAAGGAAGGTTAATAATTAACTAATGATTTTTACATTTTTATAGAATAAATTATATTTTAACTACTTATTGATTAGGTTGATGCATAGAAAAATATGATATTTTAAAATGTGTATATAATATAAGATAAATACACATAATGACTTAAGATTTTAAAATTTGTAAAAAAGATTTGAAATTTGTATTAAATACATATAATCACTTGAAGTTACATAAAATTATTATAAATATCTTTTTTTTTTTTCATTCTTTTAAATCAAGGTTCTTTAAGAACATTCAAGTGGTTATTAGCACTAAGTGCATCCCTTGGATATTTATATGTATATCTTGATATTGCAAATTTTTATAAGTGCCTAAAATTATAAATCTATTATGTACACATTTTAAAACCTCAAATCTTTCTTATACCACAAGTAACTAAATTGTCTTTCTATTAAAAATATAAAAAATTAACTTTAATTTAAATTATAAAAATTAAGTATTTGTTTTTGGTTGACTTATGTTAAAATACACTTAAAACTTATCACATTAATTTAAAAGTAAATCAACTTACTCATTTTCTCAATACAAAAAATGATAATATCATAGACTAGTTGTTATTTTTATCCTCTGCCCATACTAGAAAAACTTTTTTTTTTTTTTTCGCATTTACATAAGGTATTATTGAATTAGTCTTTGCACATTTTTTTTTTATTTTGATTGCACAATAAGAGATAATTATCTCTCATTTTTTATCCCACCAAACTTGAATGCTATGCGATTCGAATTTAAGATCTCTTACTTCTTAACAGATAATCACTAAACTATTTAAGTTATTAACAGTCTTTGCACATCTTGAGATACATTTTGAAATTAATTTTTTTTTAAACAATTGTAAGAGTGTATTGTCACATGAAATACACTTATTTATTAATAGATCTAATTTTTTAGTTTTTAGAAAATAGTATTAATAATTCAAACATTGTCGGTGACCTAAAAATTGATATGTAATAATCTTTTTTCTTAGAAAAAAAAAAGTCCTAAATTTGATTTATATGGCATTAAAATGAAATAAATTGAGAGATAAGAGAACATTATCTCTTATTGTGTAATCTACAATCAAAAAAATAATTCAAACATTGATGGTGAAAAAAAAAAAACATTCTTACTTCTTATAACAAGCATGGGTATACCATTATCATTTTTGTTGAGATCACTAACTTTGTTAAATTTTATCTTAATTTAATTATTAAAAATAATTAATAATTAATAAAATAATTAATATTTATTATTTAATAAATTAAAATTATTTTTAAATAAATAATTTTAAATATTATAATTAAATATTAAAAAAATTATATACTAATAAAATTAAATTTGCGAATTTACCGGTGGCTATCACCTTAGCCGCCAAACACCCCCTAATTTTCGACACCCAATACGGTCGGTGTTCGCGCACCGCTCTAGGCAGAAGTCAATTTCCCTTAGGCTTCCCTCTCCTCTGGCCTATATAAACGAAGCCCTTTTCTTCTCCAAAACATCAAATTTTCTTCTCACAAAATGGCAGAATTCAAGACAAAAGTTGAATCTGCAAAGGAATGGTTGGTCGAGCACAAGCTTAGAACTGTTGGTAATTTTCCCTTTTTATGTTCATTCGCTTGAAATTTCCGATTTTTTTTCCTGTTTTGTTTTTGGGGTTTTGGATCTTAATGTTGCCATGTTTTGGTATCAAAGGATGTTTTTGGCTTGGTAGCGTCACGGGTTTGATGGCGTACAACTGGTCTCGACCCATGAAAACCAGCGTCAAGATCATTCATGCTAGGTAAATTTCGATCCTCAACCTACTATTGCTTGTGGCTTAATATGTATTTCGGATTATGATTTGCTTGGCGTTATAAAGTTGGTAAATTTTGGTGTTCTAAGTTATTGCTTGTTGGTTCCAATTCGATTTGGCTTAGCAAATTTTTAACTCCATATTGTTTAGTGATTCTGATAAAATTTTCTAGCATTTGATCTAGGTAAATCAATCTTTTGTTTTACAACGATTAGTCTTGGTGGTTCCTCGTATTGATCTATGCATTTATTTGTTTTTGACATTATATGATAAAAACTTCATGGATGCATCTTGTCCAAAGCCTGTGATTTTGGAGACTTGATAAAGTTCATTGCTTTTCAATGTAAAGCATGGTTGCATATTGTCAAAAGCCTATATGTATGGAAGCCTCGAAATACCTATTATTTTTGACTTTTTGGGTACTATAATGTCATTAGGAGGCCATTAGTTTCTAAGATTTGTGATATCTAATGGGTTCAAATGTAGAGTGAGCGATCCTGATGACAATTTGATTATGGTTCAATTGAAGTTTGGGCTGAAAATTTCTGTTCCCTGGTATTTTGTGGTGAGGTGGGAGTATTTTGAATTCTTTGGAGGACATGTTCTGGACTATTTTGGAGACTCCACCCAAAGTTTCAGTTTGGTTGCCAAATCGGAAATTACAATGAACCTGGCACTATAACACCCCAATCAATGATTAAATTGAGAGAGAAAGAGGGGCATATGGCCTTAGAATGGTTATCACTAGTTTTTTTTTTTTTAGTTTTTTGATCAGCGTTTATCACTAGTATTTAATATTTACTCAAATCCCCTTTCTCTTTTTGCCCCAGAGGGTTGGCTTGTTCTGAAGTTCCATTCTTTTCATGTCAGCTTACTGTTCATCTTGTGCCTCACCCCTAACTTGGTCTCTGTGGTGTCATTTCAGGGTCTATGCTCAAGCCCTTACGTTGGCTGCATTAGCTGGTGCTGCAGTGGCTGAATACTATGACCATAAATCTGGACCCCAAGTTGATAAAAGATACGCTAAGTACCAATTCCCGATTGATGCATATTCTCACAAGGACTAGATAACTCTCTAGATTGGTAGATCTTCTCTTGGTCTATAATGATAAACAAGATGCTAAGGTGCAATCTTTCTGTCGAAATATTAACAAGGAGCAGGGTTTCTCCCCTTTCCCTCACATTCTTTGTCCTTTTGTTTTGGTTATTCCATACCTAATCTGTTATGAGTGCCTATTAGTGTACTCAGATGACTGTGTAGCAGAATCTACAGAGAAAAAACAATAATTTTATTTTTTATTTTTAAGCGTGCTAGTGATTTTCTGTTTGATTGTTACCATTATGCCATTATGGACGGATGATTGAGCTTGTCATCCCATGGTATAAACAGAATGATGTTGATTAACGGCAAAATTTTGACTAATAATTTTGTTTGTTAATTTTTGAACCAAACTGAAGCATTTTATTATTTTGTTTGTTAATAGAATCAAATATTAGTACAAAATTTTGGTTTGGTTAGTTCGGTTCAGTTTACAAAACTAACCATTTTAAAAATTGTAGGTAAAATTCAGCTTTGTGTCAAATTATTGTGATTAATTCAGTTAACTGAAATTTTATTATTTCAATTAATTTGATTAACTGTAATGTTCATTACTTGTCAATGATTTAACTAGTTTAGTAGTAATTTTTTTCAATGAGAAATAAAAAATATTGAATTCGAATCGTATAATATGTGGATGAAATGAAGTAAAAGATGAAAGAGACTTGTCTCTCAATGCAATTAAGATGTTCATTACTTCGGTTAATTTGGTTAAGGATGGTCCTCTTGGTGACACTGATTGTTACCGGTGATAAGAACAAGATTAGAACAAGATTAGTGTTAATTCTGAGAGTGACTTCTCAAAGAGGTACGGTGGAGTTTAATGGTTATGTGTGGTTTAGTTGTAAATATACAGAATAATTGATTTTTTAGAGTAACCAGTTGACAATAGTTCTGGGATTTAGTTGATATTGGAACCTTTGTGGGTTGTTGTAGACTTGTGGATAATCCTGTGGAAGTAAAAGCAAGCAAATTTCAGGGTTGTAGACTTGTGGTATTAGTGAAAAAGATTTGATGTAGCATTGCAAAATGGTGATAATAAGGAATGGGGAGGAGAGCTCTTACGTTGAAACTCAATTTAAATGACATGGTTACTGGGGTCAGTTGTTAGATTTTATTCCAAATTTCGGATTGGATGATACCTTTGCTTTTTGCATCGCATATGAAGTGATGAGCATTACAATGTTATAGACATCTAAGATCCAAGGAGTTCCATCACCTCAAGTTGATGCATTATTTAGATTGTAACTTCATAAGCTAGGAATTGCAGCCAAAAACTATAGCATTATTGTGAACTCCATTTGGTGGAGATAGCATCAACTTATGGTGCTAAATGGTATCCAAAAATAGAAAATTTCTTTTGGTTCTTTTGTTGACAGGTTCATCCCTTGTGTTTTAGTCTTAATAATCTTTGAAGGAAAATTACTTGAGAAACTATATATAAACTATAAATTCTCTTAGGCAAGTTACATGTTTGCTGCATAAACCATATATATGTATGCTGTTACTTTGTTGCCCAAGTGCTAAAAGCTTTAGTCCCTATTTGAGTTGAGAGGGAGGAGCGGGTAGGGGAGTGATCCTCTCCTTTATTTCCTTTGTTTAATTATACTAAATTTGTAAAGGAAATTGAAGGAAAGCTCCTCTTCTTTAATTTTTGTTATCTAAATAGAGAAATCTATCCTCCTCCTCTATTATAACTTAATATTTTACTTAATGTTTATTTTTTAGTTCTATAAACAAAATTCAATGACTATCTTTTATGTGTATTAATGTGTTTAATTTTTATAATAGGAGTTTATTCACATTGACATGAAGAAGGCCTTGAGGTGAAGAACTGGAAAATGGAGGATGGAAAAAGAACTCTAAAAAAAGAAAGATCTAAAAAACA